CCAGAACAACACGAAAAAAATTTCTGGGAGAAGTTTAATTGAACTTCCTGGAAAAGACGGACCAAACTTCTTGGAGACGCTGGCAGAAACTTCCTAAGGTAGATTGGAAAAAAAATCTGGAGAAAGTCGGAAGCCAGAGCGCTTACGGAACTGTTGAAATAAACAAGGGCATAATTCCGGAAGAAAGAGCTCTTGGGGGATGTTCTAATGATCCAGAAAATTTTCCAAATGGTCATAAAACATCCCTGAAGACCCTGCAATGTCCCTGAAATTTTTGGAACATTCCTGAAATGTACTTAAGAATATTCCATATTTCCTCGGGCTGTTTTGGAGTACTCTAATCATTTTTGAAATACTTGGAACTTCCCTGATTAAGATGAGACTACCGGAATATCTCTTATCAACTTTAAAGGTTTCAAAACTATCTTGAAGATTAATAAATTTTGTAAGTACTCTCACAATTTTCTTGAATTTATTGTAACATCAGTATTGAAGTTCCCTGATCTTCCCGATTTTTCTAATTTCTAAAAAAAAATTCGACACTGCCATCAATAAGCACGGAACTTCCCATAAAATGACGTGTGACTTCCCTTACGTTTCTTAAATTTGTATGAGCCCCTCGGAACATTGCTGAAGTTTTCGACAATTGCCTGAGTTTCTCGGAACTCCTTTAAAATTTCAGTGATTTCCTTGAAATTTATTGATCTGATCTGATTGTCCTGATGTTCTCGGAGCTTCCTAATGTTCTCTCAATTCTCCTGAAACTAATGGGACTGTCCTAAAAAACATTAAATTTTCCAGAAGTTCTTTGGCCTTATGAAGTATCCAAAATATTTATGATGTCTCGTTAAGTTCAATGGAGTTCGCTGGACGGGGTTTTAGAATTTTTTACAGAAGTTACTTTCTTTAATTTATCAAAACTTACTCAAATGTCTGGACTTTTCTGAAGTTTCAAAACTTTTTTAAAAGTTCCTGCAGCTAGTGTGGATCCGCAATCAAAATTTAGAAGCATCCCTGAAGTTCCGGGAAGAATCATTCGAGTGAAGGCTGAAGAAGCTGTCAAGAGAAGTCGAAATAAGTTTCCGTAAATAGAAAATTCTAGGGGAAAGATGGAAGAAAATCCAGGAAGTTAAATAATGTTTAAAAAGTATTTCCCGATTCCCCCGGAATTATCGATTTATAGGTGGCCAAAAATGGTGGGGAAATTGAAATATTAATCGAAAGAGTATCCATAAGATATTTTTGAAGATGATTTTTTTTTTTTTATTTTAAAGACTAAAAAAAAATTTAGATATTCAAAATGATACAAGTCTCACACAAAAAATTTGATTTCGATTATTTAAAAAATCGGTATAACACCTCAAAAATCGGTATTCTGAGGAACCTTATTTGTATATCGGAATCTAGTTCGGAAATCGGTATAAATACCGATAAATCGGTATATCTGGCAACGCTGGATCAGATATCTCCAAAAACTTTTTTGGATATTTTTTTCCAATACTTTTGGATGATCAATTATTATTCTAAAAATCTTCAACTGTTCAACAATCCTGTAGATTTTGGCATTTGGATCTAACGTAGGTGGTTCCGTATTGAAATGTACCATCCAAAACTCCAGTTTCACTACATATATAGAAGTTTAAGTGCTTTGCCGACTATTACACGCGAAGAAACTGTTTGAGTTCATGATTATATCCTGCGACATTCCGCAATTGTTGAAGGGAAGATCTCCCCCTCCCCCCCCCCCCCACTTTTTGAGCTTATAGCGAACTGAATTTGTCGCCAATTTGAGGGTGAAACGTTTGTAGGAGAAAGTTGTACGTTATCGGTATAGGTAATCCAAATCCAAAGTTCTTCGCCAAACCGAAAGCTTCAAGTTCAAGATTATCCTATGCCCGATAGACACAGCGTATGTTCATAGACTTGACTGCACCGATCCTTCCCCTCCTCTAAAACTGTGAGTTTACCCTGATCATCATTTAGAACGCTGAGATGTAGATTGCTTTCACCTGCGAAGAAAATTTCCATTAGCGATTCACGAGTTGCTCACCGCCTGCAAATCTCTTGCCTAGTCGGCCATTGTCTTATACTTGGTGCTTCAACCCCATGTACTCCAGAGTCCACTGTTGCGTAGATTGACCGTTTTCAGCATCGAATCGGCAAACCGTTTCTGCGTGTCCGTATCGATGCTTACCACTTGCCTAATCTTCTTATGCGAATCAGCGCCCGTAGCTTTGAATATGATGGCCACCGAAATCTCCGGGTCCTCTTCTCGTGCTTCGAGTTCGTTACCTGACGCTGAAGTACGCTATTGCAATCATATTGTTCCAGGAAACATGTTCTTGAATCAGAATGACCTTCTTCGTTTGTGCTAAAATCACCGAAGCAAACAAACGCACTCATATGTAGGGATGAATACCAAACTCCTTTCAAGAATGTGCGTTGCGCTGATCGTGTTGAAGTTTCATTTTCGATAGATTCAAATTTTATAACTGTCGAGTAGTTTGAAACAATTTTGAAACTCAGCATTGCAAACGGCCTTAAGGTGATTCCTTGAAGTGTCCAAAAATGGCCGTCATGATGTGCCCTATCATTTTAGCACAAATCTCGTGCACTGTTGCAATATCGCTCATGAAATAGGAACTCCTTGTGTGCTGCACTGTGCAAACATGAAGTTCCAGTTTCATTGTTGTATGTTTTGTGTTAGCCGATATGTGAGCTCTTGAAATTTCGAGGTGAAATGAGCCGGATTTGAAATAAAGCTTCCACAGCGACTTACCTTAAGGTTTATTAGGAATCATTGAATGTTACAAATAGGTATTTCACATTATTAAAGGAAAAAGCGTGACCTACTTATGAGAGCATGACAAACATAAATTCACAACCCTCATTCTAGTCCAAACAGGGCTTTCCTGAGCTCCCTCGGTAAAGGCGTAGAAACAATCTAAAACCATGCTGGAGCTGACTGGGTTCGACTCCCGGTTCGGCCTAGTATTTTTTCAGGATGGAAAATTTCTCGGCTCCCTGAGCATAGAGTATGACTGTACTTGTCACACAATTCCGGAGTGATTTCAGATTTGGGCGTTATTGTTTTTGTTAACAAAGACGTCAATTGCCAATTTCTCTTGAAATAAAGCTCAATTTCATAAACAAACTAAACCAGGTGTTGAGTACTTGGCACTGATGAAGTCTGCAAGTAGTAGACGAAATACGCGTATCTGTCAAAAGATAAGCAATTATAACGGAATTAAAAGGAAATAAACCAACCCACTCAAAGCTCTTCATAAAGGGATTCCGTTAAGAGGTTCGACAAATTTAAAGGATTAAACTAAACCAAATGATAGAGGAATCATTCCTCTACCTCATAGCGTTATTAGTTTTCGAGATTAAGCTTTTATTCGCGAGAAATCGGTGATTGACGTGTTTGTTTACAAATGCAATTACGCTCAAATCTCAAATCACTCCGGAATTATACTAATGCAAAAATGCTACAAGCATTGAAAGCTCTCAATTAATAAATATGGAAGTGCATCTAGAACACTAAGTTAAGATAACGCAATAAGCTAATATACGATAAGCAATAAGCTTGAAGTGCGAAAAAGAAGAAGAAGAAGAAGAAGAAGAATTATTCTAGTCCAATTGATTGATGGAGTAAATTTCCGTTCGTCAAAGACTGACACCGTGTGACACGCTCCTTATAGAAGATGTACTACAGAGAACTTAACATTCAAACGACATCAACGCACGTGAATGGGCGAACCTGCAGAAACATTTATGAAAACAAAGAAAAAATTCACATTAAAATTCCAAATTGACAACGCACAACAATACAATGTTGCACCACACCAGCAGCACCGTTAGTTCCTAGATAGATTGTCTATCTGTCTGCCTGACTTGATCGATTGAGTGCGCGCCAGCCCGCTCACCGCACATTTGCATAGGACGACCTCGACGACTATTGGGTTCAGATTGGATCCGGCTTCTGGGTGCGAACTGTCATCCCTTCCTTCAACTTTGACAGGCAATTTAGCCAACGACGCCGAGAGAGATAGAGAGAAACTAATTTTAATTAGCTTCTCTATCCGAAGAAGGCACAATCCCGTCACGCATGGTGTTTCATTCCATCATCGGCAGCAATCGAAGGGTTCGGAACCTTCGGAAGCGACACGGCGCAACTGTGATCAATGGGTTGCACCACCCGCTCGGGGGTACAAATCGGGGTTGACTTTTTGCAACCGATGTGCAGATAATGAGTTGTAGTAAATCAAAATTTATTCCGTTCCGCAGAGCACTCCTCCGCCCTGCGGCAGCTCAGCATAGTTGGAAGTAGAAGAAGCGCATTGATTTACGTCGACACATTAACGAGATGAGGTATTACCTTTTAAGGTGGCACACAGACCTTTGTTTGCCAATGTTCTAGCGCAGAGCTCGTTGCGACAAAGAACGATTCTTCGGAAGTCAACCGAACCCACCTGTTTCAACCTATCCCATAGTTTGGGGGGCGCTGTGGAAGAACATCAACCCCTCTCGCTGGAGCTGCAATCGTTCGTTGTGGAGGGAATTACTGCAATCGAAAATGATGCCATCGGCGGTGCATGTTACAATTTGCGACGATCAGACCCCTTTCCATTGTCTGCGATGTTTGGAAAGATTAGGAAGGGACCATCTCCGTGACTCATTTATCTTCCTCAGCTGCGCCACATTGTACTCACTTTACTGAAGAAGGTACTGCAAGATCTCCCTTCATTTTCTACTTCAATAGGTCATTGTTTTTATAGAGCGCGCCAATTTCGACACTTGACAACGTGTGGGAGGATGGTAGTAAGGCCTCCGTCATTAATTGTACACGATCTCGCATCAAACCTAACCTAAATCAAGTGATGTGGAAATGCAACACTTGTGGGATGTTCAATCATTAGACCTCGCTCAGCTGATTTCATTGCTGCTGTAATAAAACGCATTTCAATTGCATTTCTAACCATTTGATCTTTCTCCAACAGGGTCTCTCACTATGCCTGGCACTGACCATCGTAGATCAGACGCTAGCACAGAACAACCAGTACCTACCTCCAGACAAGGGATACGCCTACGACAAGCCCAACCAGCCGTTCCCATCTGCCCAGCAACCACAGCAGGTTCCATTCCCACGACCACCTGCACCAGCTCCTTCCTATGGACCCCCACCAGCGGCTGGTGGTGATGTGAGTATTCCAGTTAATTTTCCGCTTCCGAACATCCCTCTAAAATCGGCTTCAAATTTCTAAAACCTAGCACGTCCACGAACCGGGCATGCCGTTCGATTTCAACTACAATGTGAACGACATTGATACCGGAAACGACTACTCGCACAACGCGGTCAGCGATGGGGATGTGACCCGCGGTGAGTACCGCGTCCAGCTGCCCGACGGACGGACCCAGATTGTGCGTTACACCGCCGACTGGAAGAACGGCTACAACGCGGAGGTGAGTTGACATGGTTTTCTAATAAAAAATGGGACGGATTAAGTTCAAAGGATATTTAATCTAGACTTTCAAGACCGTCTTGAAGTCTTGAAGTGAAACAGATCAATCTGACACCTTTCATTTTATGTCTTCTGCCGGGAATTGAAGCTAACTGCATGGTAAATCATGGTCTTGTACAGAAACCTAATAATACTAAAATTGTTACTTGGGTTTGTCATGGCATGCAACTCCTTAAGTTTTTACAAGCCCACGTACTACCATACATTCTCAAAAGCCGGAGATCTTGAAACTTGACTTGTGTATGGATTAGCACCCGAATCTCAACAAACTCTAGGATCTTCACGAACTCTTGATGCTCCGGTAGTACTGGGAACTGTTACAAATTCCCGAAATCCTAGAGCAAAATAACTTTTAGCAACTCCTATAAAATCAAACTCTTCAAGGCTCTCCAGAACTTGTGAATCGTTCAAGACTTATTGTACGTCAAGACTTTGTGAGAACTGGAACCATATGATGCACAATATTAACACTCCGAATACGATACCTCCGAAAAACGTGTAACGGCAAGTTTGCAATGGCATAACTTAGCCATTTCTTGATGAATTTCAAAAATTGTGGTACTTTAGAATTCATAGGGTCTGTAGCGTGAAATAAACGTGGTGAAACGTGGCTATGAGACCGTCCTCCGAAAGATCCGAAAGATCTTTAAAAGTGGTTCATCCATGAAGCTGATTGTAGAGCTCCACAGTTCCATATGTTTTCGAAAAAAAAGTGGAGCTCTAGGATCAGTTTCATAGATTGAACACTTTTACGGATGTTCCGGATCTTCCGGACGACGGTCCGATGGCCATCCGGGTCCATGTTTATGTCATGAACCCAAATTCTTTCTTATATCACAGTTCCTAATGTTTTCGAAAAAAAACCGCGGAGTTCTAGGATCAGGTTTATGGATAGAACACTTTTACGGATGTTCCGGATCTTTCGAGGACCGTTCCGTTATCTCCAGGGTCCATATATAGGAACCATGACTGTATTCTGGCTTATTATGAACATTTGTGCCCATTAATCTAAATTATGGAGCTTAAGCCACTTGCAAAACCCATAAACGCACCTTTAAAAAAAAAAACGTGTAACGACTCTTGAAAAAAGTAGACGACCCTATTTTCAATCTTTCTGCAATTTAAATAGTCTACAGAGCCTAGGAATTTCAGAGGTACCACAATTGTTGAAATTCATCAAGAAATGGCAAAGTTATGTCATCGCAAACTTGCTGTTACACGTTTTTCGGAGGCTTCGTAGTCGGCGCAAAGTATTTTACCCACCGTATTCGGAGTGTTAATGGCGCAATAGCACTAGCGTCTTCAGCAAGACATATATAAGTCTTGTTACCTGACTGCGAGCTGGTGTTCTATCGGACCACCGACCTTGTGATGAAACCTAGAGGCGTTGAATGTCTGGCCAGACCATACACTTAATTGGCTGTCCAAGTCAGCAAACCCGGTGACAAGGACAGTTGTTTGGTCGGACCGTTGGACAGCAGATCATCCCGTGGATGTTTGGTCAGCAAACCCGATGAGAACTCAGCCCCAGATCTTCGAGAACTGAAAGCATATGTTGCACAACTGGCGTCTTTGGTCAGACATATACCTGACAGAGAGCTGGAATCCTAACAGATCTTAGACATGATGATGAAACTCAGAGGCATTGGATGTCTGGATAGTATGTAAAGCTAACATAGAACCCCGTAGAGAGGGCTGACTGGTCTGCAAACCCGGTGACAACGGAACGTCAGTTATTTGAGAACTGGCAGATATCTGGTATTTTACCAAACCGTAGACATATAGTCAGCAGATGATCCCAGAGGCAATGGATGTCTGGTTAGAAATCCTTACAAAGAGCTGATGTCCTCGCAGATCGTAGACCTGATGACGAAACCCAGAGGCGTTAAATTTTGGACAGACTGTAGACTTAACAGGTAATTCAAGAAACTATGGGTGTCTGATCGGAGCCCCAGATCTTCGAGAACTAGAACAGTATCACTGGCATCTTCAGCCAGACATATACCAATCTTGTTATCTGATGGAGAGCTGGTGTCCTACCAGACCGCAGATCTTCTGATGAAACCCAGAGCTGCTGAATGTCTGGATATACCATGCACTTAACAGAGAATCCCGTGCGCGATGGATGTCCATGTCAGCGAAACCGGTGACAACGGTACCCCAGACCTGGACAGACCATATACCATAGGCGGTGATTGTTTGGTCTGACTGATAGTCAGCACAAGATCCGGTGGGCGGTGGATGTCTGGTCAGCAAAACCGGTGAGAACACAGCCACAGATCTTCGAGAACTGGAACAACATTAGGGGCACAGCGTCACTGGCGTCTTCGGTCAGACATATACCAATCTTGTTGCCTGACAGAGAGCTGATGATGAAACCCAGATGCGTTGGATGTCTGGACTGTCCGTAAACTGATCGAATCCCGATATCTGATCTGTGAACCCGGTGATAACGGAGCCACAGTTCTTTGAGAACTGTCAGAGATCTCATGTTCTACCAATACAGCAAATGATCCCAGGTGCGATGGATGTCTGGTTGGCCTGACAGAGAGCTGGTGTCCTGCCGTGGACTTGATGATGAAACCCAGAGCCGTTTAATTATTGACAGACCGTAAACCTAATATAGAATCACGTAGGTGGCAGATGTCTTGTTAGACCGATAGACCTAGCAGGTTATCCCAGAGGCGATGGATGTCTGTTCAGCAAACCCGGTGACAACGGAGTCGCAGATATTCGAGAACTGCAACAACATTAAAGGCACAGTGTCACTGGCGTTTTCAGTCAGACATAGACCAATCTTGTTACCTGACAGAGAGCAGACTGAAGACTTAATGATGAAACCCAGATGCATTGGATGTCTGGACTGTCCGTAAACTGAATATAGAATCCCGAAGAGGGTGGCTGTCTGGTCTGTGAACCCGGTGACAACGGAGCCACAGTTCTTTGAGAACTGACAGAGATCTGATGTTCTACCAATACAGCAAATGATCCTTGGGTGATGGATGTCTGGACTGTCCGTAAACTGAATATAGAATCCCGATATCTGATATGTGAACCCGGTGACAATGGAGCCACAGTTCTTTGAGAATTGACTGAGATTTGATGTTATACCAATACAGCAAATTATCCCAGGGGCGATGGATGTCTGGTTGGCCTGACAGAGAGCTGGTGTCCTGCCGTTTATGATATAACCCAGAGTCGTTTAATTACTGACAGACCCCAAACCTAATAGAGAATCACGTAGGTGGCAGATGTCTGGTCAGACCGATAGGCCTAGCAGGTTATCCCAGGGGCGATGCATGTCTGTTCAGCAAACGCGGTGACAACGGAACCACAGTTCTTCGAGAACTGGTACTGGCGTCTTCGGATAGACATACTGGTGTTGTTACCTGACAGAAAGAGAGAGCTGGTGTCCTACCAGACCGTAGAGCTAGCAAATGATTCCAGAGGCGATGGATGTTTGATCAGCAAACCTGGTCACTACGGAGTCGCAGATATTCGAAAACTAACAGAGCTGGTGTCCTACCAGACCGTAAACTCGATGATGAAACCCAGAGACGGTAGATGCCTGGCCAGATCGAAGACTTGGCAGATGATTTCAAATGCGTTTAATGGCGGTGACGAAAGAGTCGTAGATTTTCTAATATGGGTTTTAAAAATTCAATTGATGAACCGATCCTAGGACATAGAAAAATTGTAGATTTCGATGGATCAGAGTCTTAATGTAAGCTTCTGGACATTTTGATGCTCAGTAACTTTCTTTCTGGAATACTGGGAGTCAGTGTAGATCAAATATCAAAACAAAAAACTTTATCATACAAGCATTCGTACGAAAAGTGTTTCGTTTCGAGATGCGCAATGTGGCCCAAATAATTCCACAGTACATGAAGACTTATCAGTTACACGTGTACGCCAAATGTCGAAACGATGTGATGCGACCTTCTCCGATTTGCATGAAACTTTGAATAATTGTTTGCTATGGTCAGTAATTATCATTTGAGCTAAAATTTTGGAAATGCAACTAACATTCAATGTAATACATTTTTGGTTTGTGTGTAGCATTCTGAGAAATTATGGAACTCCATGGAATAGCTAACGGATCTTCAAGAACTCTCCAAACTTGCGCAACTTGGCAAACCATCGAAGCACCTAAAACATTTTGAAACTCCATGAAATTTCAATGTTCAGAAACCTTACATTCTTACAGAACGTCTAGCATATAATGAGCCCTTCGAAGAATGGAATAGTCTTATTTATTTTTATACAAGATTCAGAAGATGCATAAATTTTCTTCTGCTTCTACGATATTTTCGCATTCAAACAGTGGATTATTTCAAGAACTTCACCAACAATGATAACCACTTCCATTTTCAGGTGACGTACGAAGGTGAAGCCAAATACCCAGAAGGCCCAGGTCAGGGCGGTGCCAACTCCGGTGGATACAAGTACTAAGTTTAGTACCCCTACCAACAATCGATCCAGCACCTTCCCAAGAGTGTTTCGGAAACCCTCCACACGTGATTAGCCGAGAACCCTCATGACAAAATTTCGTTTTTCCTCCACGTATCGATCACTTGTAGATACTACGTGTAAGGACAACAAAAAATCCCTCACATCAACTCAACTCACGATGACACATCGAACGAACGAACCATGTTCTCCCATTTAGTTCTTATATAAAACCATGTAAGATCGTACACCGCTAAGTGCACCTTAATTGCCCCGAAGAAGGAAAAACCAACGAAACGCTTGCATAGTTTCGTTGCCCAATTAATCATCATCATCATCCTCGATGCCAGTATGGAGCGAAACGCGACAAGAAACGAGAATAATCCGCGCACCACAAAATTAATGACCTGAAAAATTAGCCGGATAAGCGCATACCCTTAGCCACAACTACCCTTTCGGACTGCTTCAGCACCATCACCGTTCGTAGCACATAAATATATTCGCGCGTTTATTTATAATTGTAACCTGTACATGTTTCTCAGAATAGTCATAAATTTAGTGGACCAATGCAAATGGTCCAGTGTTTAATTTTGCTATTCTCCCCCCGTAACTCAAGTGATACTAGCTGAACATAAACAACATTCCCCCCGTGCACAACGATTAGACCCATCCACAGCGACACGACAAATGTTTAAACCATTATAGTACGTCCCTCTCGCGAAAATGAATAGAAGAAATAATCATGTTTGGTCAATAGGGGCAAAAAACGAAGACCCACATCTGCAAGCGGAGCGAGACGGGGAGTATGTCACATTAAGTCTAATTAATTTTACGATTATTACCCCATGCAACAACGGACACACATAGAACTCCGTAGACGTTCGGAAAGAGCGCTCGTTAAGAATTTCAAACATGACACAGGTGATTTTCGAAATCGTAAAATGCACTGCTCATCCCCCTTTGGATCGCTTTTCCGCCTGTAGAATGTACTGGTCTTCGCAGAGTCCCACACTCACACGTTTACGACATTAGCAGGTATTTCGTTTTGAGAGATAAAGTAGTAAAGATAGCGGGTGGAAATTTTAGATGCAAAACTGCCAAGCGAGAGATGGGCAAGTCTTCCAAATTAAAATGATGGTCTTAAGCGGCGAGTACGGATGAGGAAAGAACTTTGGAACTGCCAGTTGATTATATGTATACAAATTTACGCCACGCAAAATAATGACGAAAAGTGAGAAAAATTATAAAAATATAAAAATACCTCAATGAATTAACGCAAACAGTTTCATAGAATAGAAAGAAATCCTAACATACTTAGGCTTTGAACGACGCAGAAAATGATGTTCTAAAGATAAAGAGTAAAATTGATGATCAATATTTGGCAAACATTGACAGTAACTTCATTAAAACACATTCATTCTGAAAACGGTGGTTTAGATTCCCAGTCTTCTCGATCGATATTATTTACGACGTCCTTAGGCATGAACTCACGAACCTTTCGTTAATCTTGTGGGTTCAGTTCATTATGCTTTCTCATTTTTTTTCTCCTATATTGGGGACATAATACCACCACGACCATTTGATTTATTGTAGTGTATACTCTTTTTATTTATGCCATAGCATAGTAGTAAGCCACTATTGTTTGCGTAGCTACATCCAACTGTTGTAAGTTTACAATCCTTATGAAATTTACTACCTGCACCCCAAATTTCCCAAGGTCCCATCAGACCCTTATCAAGATATCTGCATCGTTTATGAAATAGTGCAACACAGTCACACAGAAAATAAATATTCAGAGCTTTCACTCTTTAGTTTAAAAAGCGACATTTCCGGAGTGATTTGAGATTTGGGCGTAATTGCTTTTGTACACAAAGACTTCAATTGCCGATTTCTCTTGAATAAAAGCTAAATCTCAGAAACCAACTTTACCAAATGATAGAGGAATCATTCCTCTATCTCAAAGCGTTATTAGTTTTCGAGATTGAGCTTTTATTCAAAAGAAATCGGTGATTGACGTGTTTGTTTACAAATGCAATTACGCCCAAATCTCAAATCACTCCGGATTTATCTTCATGAATTTTACCAAAGATTTTCAGGTGATATTTACAACGGCAGTGTCCTGTTATCAAACCAGTGTATGCAGTCAAATCTTTTGACGTAGAACTACGACTTTGTTTTCAATATGGAGGTACACTTCAGCGGTGTAAGATATACAGATATGTCTGTATTTTTACAGATATTTGATGTTTCGTACAGACCCAATACAGACTACAGACATTATACAGATATTTGAAACTTAATACAGATTTTGTACAGATTTTTACCAATTGGTTCCTGAAATTTAACATAAAATAAACAAAATTATATTCGAAATTTGAACAGCTTCAAGCAATTATGGACTTGGAACCATTGAAAATGCTCCACCCGGCTGCCACACGCTGGTTGTCATTAGAGCAGGTGGTGCAACGGATGCTAGAAAGACTTCCAGCTCTCAGAGTATACTTAAATTATACTAATTTTAATGTGGACTTGATGCCGAGGAGATGAAAAAAATCCAGTGGTATCTTGGAGAACCCCATGACGGCGCTTTGCTTGAGGTTTTTGGAATTTGTTCTACCAAAAGTTAACAAACTAAACCGCTTGTTCCAATCTGAACCGCCTTAAATATTCCGACTCAATTCTGAGTAAGTTCGTTTGCTCAAGGAAATCCTCGAAAATTTCATGAGACCAGACTACATTTCGAAGCTTGAAGACCTGGGTTCGTTAATTTTGCAACCCAGAAACTACTGTGAAAAAGGTTTATATGGGTACTGGCGTACAAACACATTTGGATGATGTTTTGTCATCCAATAGCATCAAGCTTGAGGATGTTCATCACTTCAGAACAATGGCGATGAACTGCTACATAACGCTTGTAAATCAAATCGGGAAACGTATCAATATGGATGATATGATTCTCGTAAACCATTGCCAGGTTTTTGAGGCAGGGCATTGACCCAAAAAAATCTCAAAAACGAAACGCACCCCTCAATGTACCCAGTTTTGCAGATGTTCCCAAATGTTATCAACGAATTCGAAATGCAAATGGTAGACGACGAATTCCGCGACGTGAGAAACATGGATTTGTCAATGGATACTAATTTTGATGATGGTGTTGAATTTAGGGGACTGGTACTGGCACCAAACCTACTTGCATTGCCACACTCCTAAGCGACAGTTGAAAGGATGTTTTCGTCGATCACCCTAAACAAAACTAAGCTGCGTTGCAGGATGGATGCAGCTATGATGCAGGGAATCCTAGCGTCCAAGGAATATGGAAAAGCCATCAAAATAAAAAAAGGAATCACTGAAATCATAAAAACAGCTTTTTGACTATTTTCAAGCAACATGTATGATAATACTTTATAATAAAATCTGTTCGGTAAGTTCTGATCATATCTCATTTATTTATATTTGATATATCTAATATTACCTTCTTCTAGCCTTACCCACATGCCTATGTTCCTTTTTAACGTTGTCACTTAATTCCGATGGTTCGGTACATGGACCGTGAACGGGGTTTTTATTTTTTTTTTAATCTCGTGATTTTAAACAGCAAAATGCTTTTTAAGTTTTGACTTCGTATTTTTTACACTAAGAATAAATTATTAAAAAAGTGCTATTTTGCTTAACTAAAACTGAACTAAACAAATGCTTATTTGTTTAGTTTAGTGTGTGGCGAGCAATTTTATAGCCAAAATACACACTGACACAAATCGACATGTACGGTTTATTGGATCCATCTTATAACATAGCAATGTCAGAAGATTTATTCATTCTATGTGATGATTGATAGATTTCATTGGATTATCACTTAAAAACTATCACTGCTGTATGGAATGATTTCAATCTTAATTTCACATACTTAGCACATGATATTCCTTTGCCTTGAACGTGGTTAGCGATGGGTAAGATGTATATGAATATTGTCTGATATATATTATGGGGAAAGACTGTTACCATAGAGGTAACTCTAAGACCAGAAGGTTCCGATGAAACGTGCTCAACTTTCTGGCTCAGCTCTGGTACTATCTTCGGTCCAAGCTAATCGATGCACCTCTCAAAACATATGAAAATGCACGAACCCCTCATTTTATCTGTCAAACGTTCATAGTAAATCAAAACAAACATAGTGTAGTACTAGAATTTCGACTAGAATGGGGTGCGCTTATCGATGTACTTGGGACCAATAGGCTAGTCAAGTAGTGAGCTAATTTAAAATCGTTAGTTTCCACTGGATGTTACAACTCTGGTGAGCATTTTGTGTGGTCGTTGGAGGTGTGTGTTTCTGAATATGGCGATGAGTGTACAAAATGTTACACAATTGCATCCTCCCTATTCTCACACATCCGAGGATCGGACGCGAATGCCACTTCGACTTGTTTCGTCTACTAACGACTCTCTGATGACAGTGTTGGCGAAGCAGCATATGCATGTACGTAATTGATGAATTTGTTAGTTATTTCGACGGTTTTGGACAATGCTTGACATTTACCACTTTTTCAATCGTTTCTTGAAAATCAATAGTCGGCAGCATTGCTATCGTTGCATGGAAATATTTCTGATCGATTGGTGACAAAATTATTGAAATTGGTCCAGGGGCAGCTGAGTTAGTAACGATCAAAATCTTTCATAATTTTGTTACATGTTCCATTTTCGGCTTTCACAATGTGTACCCCCATATAGAAATCACAGACGTAGTGCTTCGTCAAAAAACAGCATACCCCAATGATAATCCAAACGATTGAACTATTCCACAAAGGGTTGGGATGATAAATTGAACACGTCGCTAAGCAAAATAACCATTCAAATTTTATTAGGGAAATAAAAACCTAGCTCATTTCTTTTTCTTGTTTCAAGATCATCCTCGGTGGGCAAAGCCGAGTCTGTTCACTATCAACAAGGCATAAAAAGTAAAAAGTACTAAGATCCCGAGCAAAGTCTGAGATCAAATTTAAAACTAAATTTGAAGTAGCTGATAATGATTACTCCGGTTGCTGTCGTTTTGGTCGTATTAACGGTTAAAATATCAAAATTGAAAACTCATTGAAAACTAATCCTGCTATCAGTGAAAACAAACTGGAAACTCAATTTGAAGTACATTTTTCGCGTATTCAATTTGATATTTTGCTAAAGCCATGAAAACAAAACCGCAACAACATATTTTTGAAGAGCAAATAAAGAGCAAAATTAAAACAAAATGTGTTATCAAATTTGTCAATTGCGTAAACTGATATCAAATTACTTATTTAACTACCATCTTTGACATTTTAGCCATACAGACTGTTTAAAGTGACTTAATCCTATTCTTAAAAACTGGTCTACTTATATTAAAATCAAAAACATCACACACATCATTAAACAGTCTGCAACATCTATCGAGAGGATTGCTATAACCGTAAGCTGTACGATATCCGGGAGTCTACAGAAAGTAATAGTTGCGTAGACGGCGAGCTGGAGTGTGGAAATTGATGTTCCCGAGCAAACAACTGCAGTCAATATGATTACTAATCATGTCAAATATGAACATCCTCTGGAGAAAGACTCGGCGATTTGACAGTGTTTGCAGTCCAATAAGCGCACATCTATGCTCGTACGGAGGTAAGCTATCTAGATTTGTCCATGGCAGACGTCGTAATGCAAACTTTATAAACTGTTTCTGGATTCTCTTGATGCGCAGTACACGGACAGTATGATATGGAGCCCAAATTTGAACTCC